CCTAAACAATATAAAATGGCAATTGCCTTTACTTTGGCTCAATTTGAAGGCATTGTACATGATAAGAATAAATAAGGGATAAATATCATTTCTTCCTTATTTTTCTATATGAGTGAAAATTAATTTTCAAATTATAATATTATATTATTTTTAGACTGGTGCCTGTACCAACGGATGGATATGTGAGCATAGATGGAGACAAATTTACTCAATGGTGGCTTTTAGAAATGTGGTCCAAAATAATAAAATTCAACATTGGTGGGATAATGGTTCAAACCAGATTGCATTGCACGCGGTTGTGCTGGTCTAGCAGTCTTCAATAATGAAAATCAACAGAACTTGCAACAAACGCTTCAGGTAATTTTTAGCCAAATATATGAAAATTGACTACTTTTCTTTATCATGAATGAAATAAAAATATTTTAAATATTGTTAAATTATTCTAACAGTTTTATTGTAGTTTTAGAAGTTTTTCCTGTGTTTATTTTCCAATATTTAACAGCGGATAACATTTGATATTGAAGATATATCTAACAATTAATAGAAAATTACACCAATGTTCCCATTAAAATATTTTTTAAAATAAATAGTACAAATTTAAACTTAATTTAAGAATAGAAAATATAACAAACATTTTTTGTCAAACATCAACCGTCTTCTAATACATGATGAGCAGAACATCACTTCTGAAAGACTTTGCAAAATAATTTTTGACGAATAAAAAAAAGATAATATGTTTTAATTGTGGAAAATATTGAAAATAGTGGTAGATATAAGAAATATTTATTATGCTATTCTTTTCATTTAATTTATTTATTGATTTATTTAATAAATGATTGATTAATTAAATAAATGATTGATTAATTTAATAATTCTAGACTTGTTTGCCTGCCGGAAGATATTGCGATGTATATCTGGAAAAGCGGAAAATGGCAGGTGTTCCGGTAAAACTGTAGAAGTATCACCTGATGGAAAAGCTTATGTAGAGATTTTACATTCGGAAGACGATGGGGTTCTCGCTATACATATAGGAAAACAGGTAAATTTAAATCCAGATATTTTTTTTCTTAGCGCAATTAATATAGTAATTCACAAAACTTATGTTTTTAATGAAAGAGTAGATATGATCAAATACTCATAATTAATTATAATCATAATAATTAGATACTTCTAACATTATTGACTTAATCTACTCGTTAGTCAAATTTTAAGTAGACGATAAACGTACGCTTATTGGATATTGAAATTAAATTTTAGTGTTTTGATTTTTTTTGAATTTTTAACGTCGCAATTATTTAATAATCACTAATCATTATTAATTATTTAGCAACGTTATATTAAATAGTACAAGTTATATAACTACACAGATAAATAATTTCTTAATACCTTCGTAATTTCTTAAAAAAATCTATTTGTTCTAAATGAACATTGTTTCTAAATAAATGATTCATGCAAACAAGAATTTTCTTGGTATACTCATAATTGAATTAAATGTTAAGTACGATACATCGCATTAAATGCATATAAATGTATAATATACGCTTATATATAACAAATAATATACTACTTAATGTAATTATTACTAAAATATAATCGACAATACTTAACTAATTCTAAATATTGCAATATTTCAGTCTCTTCTCAGCCTAAAGTCCAAAATGTAGTCGAGTTTGAAAAAGAGGAAGTCAAGTCAATGACAGAGGTTATCATGTGGTTATTTAGTCCATGTTAATTTGTATGGTTGTGGTTAATAAAGTAAATTTCCTTCATTAGATTTTCATTACCGGAACCGGAATGTTTGTAATCTTTATTATTTTCATTTAAACTCGACTTTAATTAAAAACAGTAACCTTAGTTATGGTATCTTAATCATGTAGTTCATAAGATATCCAAGTAATACCAGTTCATTCAAAATTGTAAAATCTGCACGAATTCTAGCTTAACAATATTAACTATTCAGATAAAAATGAAAATTAAAATCTCATACTTAATAAATGTCCGGGGCAAAAGAAATATTACAAAAATAAAATAAAGCTTCATCTTATAGTGAAATAATGCATATTTCATATTAAATTAGGGTATGGGAAACTTGGTATGGTTGTGCCAAGGTAGTAATTAACAGTCACCATAGAGCTGAAATACTAATTTTGACATAGGTCCCGAAGAAGAAAGATAAAGTATATTTGTTCGAGCAAGTTTACATTATCCGCATTGATCAGCGCCCTAAATTAACACGATTTCACGTAGACCGCATTTCTTTTAAAGGGTTAAAAAAGTTTTTATTTAATAATAACTTTTTCTTGTATAAGATAAATCACTTGTTGGTTATTTTTCTGTAAATTAAACATAGTAGATAATTACCAGCAATTTAGCATAGTTATATACGATGATTTGTTTTTAAAGGTGGTTGTGCTTTTCAAATAAAGATTAAACAGATAAGGAAAAATCTAGCCTAACTAATCGTAGATAAAATATGAAAAAGAAAGGGATAGCAAAATTCTATACAAGAAAAAATTATGACTGATCAAAGAAAAGTGGCACAACCGTACCCAGTCTTACCCCAGTCACGAAGTACAATACATTTTGGCAAACAATGACTAAACTTACACAACTGAAATTGTTCCAATGTAAGCTATAATACTGTAATCATTAAAAATATTTTTTTTTTAATTATAAACATTTCTTACAAAATATGATAAAAGTCAACAATTAAAAAAATAGTCTTGCTTAAAAATATAGTTATTTTTCTTATCACAGATAAAACTAGATAGGTGGGTATAGTAATAATTATATCATGATACAGGATTAGGAATTAGTTTCCAAGGGATAAAAGTTACATTAGGATGATTTGCTAGCCAAATTTCGTGCATTTACTTCCGCAAAACATTGCACTACATAATAAGTATGAATCGCCGAATAATCTTTTGACGGGCCTAAAATAAAAATATATTATTTTTTTCGACCACATTATATACACATTTTCTTATGTAATAAAAAACAATAAGAGAGAGGTGTTGTGTGAAAAATATTAATTTGAATTATTTAGAAGTATTTACAGTATGAATCATTATTTCAAAATAAATTTCCACCACAGTAATCTGTGATATTTGTCATCAAAATGTGCAAGATGTTTGTCATTAAAACTTGATCATTTTCTAAGTAATATTTATTTCAAGTCTATATTAGTATACTTACTTTTAGTATACTACTTGAGAAAACCAAAAAGCGTTCACAGACACATATTTTTATGATTAATTTTTTTTCAGATAACAACCACCAGTTTTTTTCTATTGTTCTGCAGATAAATTAAAATATGACTTTCTTTTCGGGTAAGGCAAGGCACAAAGGTCTAATTTGATTTTGAGCAATTATATTGAGAAAACTAAACCAAATTCTATCATAATAAATATCTCATTTCAAACAAACAACAACTATCTGACTGTGTTCAATAAAATTCCTAGCTAATTCATCATTGCAGAAGTGTGTTTTTTCCAAAAATTTGTCGCCTGATATTTTTTACCCCATAGGGGGGGGGGTAAAATAGCATGGCCGGGGGCACCCGGTGCATGTTTAATTTACATTTAAGAGATTTTACGAAATAATAGCTACATTATTCAAACAATCCAATAATATAATTTCATGGGTTAATTTTATACAGACCTGGATCTGGTACTTCATCAGATATGTTCACCAGCAAGTTGGAATGACTATTTATTCAATTTAACTCTTGTAAAATTGTTTAATTTACTTCTAAATTTGGTATTTTTCATTGTTTACACCTTTGCCAGGATAAAAACAGTTGTCCTTTTACTCCAGAACCCATGTGTAAGTTTTCACATATAGTGAGTTTATGGTGGTATTTCAATTAGTGGGTACTACTTAAAATTAACAACACTAGATGTATTAAACATAAAATACTTAAAATTACATTAAGGTCTCGAAAACTAGAGAACAGTGCTCTCAACAAAAAATCTAACGACCTAAAAAATTAATTTTATTACGGATTTTCAATCCTGATTGCCGTTTATCTCCTGATAGCATCATAGTAAGAATCAAAATGATGGCTGATTGATAATCTCTTTCCCTCTACTTTTAAATATTGTTGTTAATAAATTCTTAACTTTACTTGTTTTTGAGATATCGGTAGCAGACCTATTTACTCGCGGACTTTTAAGCCCTGCTCTACCCTGTAAAATTTGGCATAAATGCAAAATTTCATGAGCTAGTCTGTACTTACTTGTCCCTAAAGCAACTCACTTTCAAGCACCTCCCTCCTATATTAAAATGCCTCATTATCATACCTGTTTAAAAAGCAGAGCACTCCATATTCAAACAATCCAATTTTGCAGTTGTGGCAAACGGCATTCGGCCCTTCTTTTACTGAGAACTCAGATGTAGAGGTAGTTCCTCAACATGCATTACTTCATGAGTCATTTTTATAAAACTTTTTTCGTTCAATAATAATGACCCTCTCCATCATAATCACTATCATAAAATTCATTATAATCTTCATCATCACAGTTTTCATTCTCATCGGCATTCGGCCCTTCTTTTAACTGAGAACCAGATGTAGAGGTAGTTCCTCAACATGCATTACTTCATGAGTCATTTTTATAAAACTTTTTCCGTTCACATAATAATGACCCTCCCCATCATAATCACTATCATAAAATTCATTATAATCTTCATCATCACAGTTTTCATTCTCATCCAGAAAGAAAGAGGTTTTGCTCAAAATAGCATGTGTTTTCCGCAAGGCCAATTCGAACAATGTTGGCATTTTTGGAGCAAAATATTGTGAAACATGTTTGATACCCGAATATAAATAAACATCAATTTCTGGTAAATTTTCAGTATTGACTACTTTTACATGGATTTGTCCTGGATGGAAAATTCTGTCGAATCGTATGTCCTGCAATCAATTTGTAAATGCATCAGGTTGTCGTACAAGTGAAGGTAATAAAAATATATAATTGATTATATATTTCTAATTACCAAAATCGTGTGCTGATATGTGGATTGATATCAAATAGAGGTTCAAGAGTCAAGGGTACATGTTTCAGGGCAGGGTTCAGCTTGAAAATAATATTAGGCAGAGGATCAGCGGCCAATGGTAATGCTGGTAAGCAGCGCAAATCACAACCTGTTAATATCCAAATTAATTAATTATTTCTCATATACACTAGTATCATTAACTTCTTATCTATGTGTGGGTATCTTCCACATATATTTCTTACACCTCTTATAGATGGTACCCATATATGTACTTCCTAAGAAGTTCACTATCAAATTCAGAATACCTGGCAATAGCAACATTAGCTCATAACTTATTTATAACCTAATTCACACACTTTTAACATCCAACATTTTGCCTATTACTTAATTAGTTATAATCATACACACCACTCACATATAAACATCTGGAGTTTAATAAACTCAATATGTAATATAAAACTTTTCAAAATAATCAATTGTATCACGATTGGTTTATCATGTTCATAAAAACAAGAATTCGAACAACAATGCTGGTTAAAAACTTGTTTAGTTATTTAATTCATTCATTTTACTAATTATTAAGTAGCTATTTGTTCTACATCATAATGATTATTAAGTATTATTTATTATTTTACTTTTTTTTACTCAAAGCTCTTTTTCCTTGATTTCTAAATTTTCTCGAAATCTGATAAACTGAGTGACTAAATAAAGTGACAAAAATTTTAAAATCCCAAACAAAAACTGCTTCCCGCGTTTTAAAGTGAGAAAATTAAAAGTATTTGCACAGATATTCCTGTGAAAATATTTCATTAAAAATACGCCATGTGAATAAAAACATAAATGGCAAAAATATTTTTAAAAAATTGCTAATTTTTTACTGATTTCAAAAAGAAATAGTCATTGCAGGTTCATATTATACAAAATAACTAATATATGGGTATATAAAAAAAAATTTATTAGCAGATTATTATTATATTAGCAGACTTGAACACATTTCTGTGTCTATATTCAAATATAGTTAAATTTTACAAAAAATTTTTTTTGCTATTAAAAAAGCGACACTTGGAGAATCCAGAAATTGTCAATGATAACATTATTTTCAAACTAGTGGTGTATAATGGCATCGTGCTTGAGGCAAATTGCTGAAATTCCCCGTACCAGAAATACATTTTTTTTAAACTTAAAAAAAAAATATTTTGAAAATCTTGAAATTTTTGAAAAAAATTGACATTCTTGAAAAAAATTTTTTTTGTTCATATTTTAAAATATTTTGGATAGTTTGAACTTTTTTCCAGAGCCATCGCATTGCTTGGTGTAGGCATCGTGCTTGAGGCAAATTGCTGAAATTCCCCGTACCAGAAATACATTTTTTTTAAACTTAAAAAAAAAAATATTTTGAAATCTTGAAATTTTTGAAAAAAATTGACATTCTTGAAAAAATTTTTTTTGTTCATATTTTAAAATATTTGGATAGTTTGAACTTTTTTCCAGAGCCATCGCATTGCTTTAGCTACATAGAGACAAATTACATAGAGACAAATTTATATCCAAACACATACACACACATACATCAACTTTTTCTAAGGCATGCCAAAAAGTTCAGAAACGTAAAGATATATAAAAAATTTCATTTTCGATTTTTTTTGCGATTACTATAACTTACCCTACTGAAAGTAAATAAAGACCACATAATAATAAACAAATCACGCCTAATTATCAGTTACTAAATAATTTTCATTATTTAAAATTTATAAATTTCAAAAATTGTTAAACTTTTAAAAAAAAATCAATTATCATTGAAGATGTAAATCCAAATTTATGGATTTAATCAATTATACAGATTTATTAACTGATGGCAAACAACATCTTAGGACATTTGAATGTATCCAATAATAGCCCTTGATAACATTATTTTCATTTACAGACTGGACAACAATAAGCACATGATGCCTACATGCCTAAATTAAATTTATCAGTTACTGTCTAAATTTCTATATTCAGTTTTTCTATGATCAGTAATCTAATTATGATGATGTCTATTATCAAAAAGTCCGACAAATCCAAATTTGAGTTGTTAAGAGCAAGAGTGACCATTCATGTTAATTAGAGCGTTAGAATATTTCAAGTCAAGTTTAAGTTAAAGTTTGACTTACAATTTGCGCTCAATTCCCTCAGACGTGGTAAGGAAAACACGGAAGGTGGCAATTCGAACAGTGGATTGCTGTCGACAGAAAGTTCTTCCAAGTTTCGAAGCTCACCAACACTCGGAGGCAGGCACTTTATGCCGTTGTAACTCACGTCCAAACGTCGCAAAGATCGTAATTGTGTGAAATCTGAGGAAAATAACCGATATTATAAAATAAGGTAAGTGATTTTCAAATTTTCAAATTACAAATTTAATAAGATTTTTGAGTTTATGTTTGAAGAGAAGAGAAAAATATTTTTTAGAAACCCTATCATTATGCTCAGAATAAAGAGAATAAATCAACCACAAGTCTAAATATTATTTTCAACGTAATCTAACAAGACAAACTATAAGCTGTAAGGGTATGAAATAATAAAGTGAAATACAAGACATAATTTATTGTTCTGATATTTTATTTCGTCAGCCTTTAATCAGAGGACAACCTGCTGATTTGCAATAATCGTTTCGAGATTTCTTTGCATACATTTTTTTTATTGTTATTCATTTGAACAGCGACCAGAACTTTAAGATATTTATGAGCTGTTGTCATTAATTTCTTACAAACTATGTTTGCTAATTATAGAAGGCAACTCAAAACACTTGACTATTATTACAATTGACTTGATTATTATTACAATTATTATGATAGAAATGCCTTTTTTTACTAATATAGCAGTGCCTGGATAAGATGTATTTTCACTTGGAAACATATTGCTATCTATATTTCGAATGAAAATTCGCTGTCACTACTACTTGACATCAGGCTGCTCGAACCTCTGATTCAGATCCAGCCGCTCTAGCAACATACAACGAGCCCCTTTGCACAAATAGCTACAAATTTTGAGTATTTTCGATACGAAGCATCGGAAAGAATGAATGAAAAAAATAACTATCACATATAAGGTTGTAATCGAGTGATAAGATTATAAATATTGGTAGATTCGTATTTCGTAATCGATTACATGATTCATATTCCATGTATCATATTTATTCGACATGAGCAAAGAAGTAAGTAATAACCACGACCGCGCATTTCTGAAAACTGATATAACAATGCAAGTAAATTAAAAATAGCATATTTAATGAGTAAATTTATTATATTTAAGGACTCCTATACTACCATCTTCGAGATGATAAAAAGTGAAAGTTTATGTTTGTCCAAAAATCATATTTTCTAATTTCAAGAAAATCATTCCTTGATCATTTTCAATATTTCATCACATGATAGTAAAAAATTTGTAAATATCGACAAGTTAATAGCTATTTGAAAAATCAACAAGGGCTCGCATTGAGCAGCTCACAATTTTAGAAACAGATCTATTACTACTTGGGAAAGATAGTCAAAGTATAGTTAAAGTAGTTTGTTAACTATTATAAGATGATTCATCTTATGACATTAAAATTTAGAAAAATATTTTACTAATTTCAATTAACATTTATGATTATTTGTGTGAGAATTGAAGAATCTGTATTTTCAGTTCTCACTGTTTGACCCGCGCTAAAAATATAATTTACAAATCACATTTGAATTAAAAAGATCGTAATTTACAAAAGAACAAAAACAAGCAAAAAATATCATCGTCTTCAAAAAACTGTTGCTATTGAATTTAACGAAAAAAATACATACAGACAAAACAAAAAATATTTGTTTGCATGGATGCCTAAAATTATTTAAACTAAGTCATCGATCTAAAAGCTCAATCCTTTAATGATCCATTTATTACATGTTTGCTATTTTACATACTGTGGTATGGGTTTAGGTTTACGTTTTACTTGAGATAACATAATTTCGTGCTTGCGTCTTAATTAAGAGAAACATTACTTCAGAATGTTTATTGATGTAAAATTCCAATAATATTAGGTCATGATGCTTTATTTACCCGGGCTGAATAAGCACACATTTCATAGAAGGAGGAGCTTCTTGATTAATAATGCACAGGAATCGAAAAATTAAATTAGACTTAGAATAATAATAAAAAGTTGTAAGTTGCATTTTGCCTTGTGGCAAATTGCATAAACTTTCCGATAAGTGTATATAATCGGTTTATTCAATAATGGTTTTTGAATTATAGATAATCTGCCAGTTTACATGTCTACCTGTCTTGCTGTCCACCTGTGTACTTATCTACATTTATTACCGTTCACCTGTTTACCTTTCTTTGTTTTATTTTCCCATTTAGTATGTTTACATGTATCTTCAAAATAGAGGGTTTAGAGTTAAAGTAAATATGGAAACTTCATCAGCTTGCTTGGTTGAAGCAGGAGTCCCACAAGAAGTGTACTGGATCCATACCTTTACATTCTCTATACTAGCGATTTTCCTACAGATGAAAATTTAACAACTGCCACATTTGCCGATGATATTGCTATTCTATCTCCAGATCCTGATCCAGTTGTAGCATCGAGAAGGCTTCAGAGTCATCTAAGAGTCATTGAAAAATGGACTAGCAAATGGCGCATAAAAATCAATGACAATAAATCAACCCATGTAATATTCACACTTAACAAATCTTCTTGCCCAGCAGTTCAATTTCATGATAAGACAATTCCAGTTAAAATATCAACAAAATACCTCGGGATGATATTAGATAGCAAACTAACCTGGAAGCAACACATACTTTCAAAAATAGCTCTAGTAAAAAATAGAACTAAGGAAATTTACTGGCTTATAGGTAACAAATCCAAATTACCTATTGAAAGCAAGATACTAATATATAAAACAATAATAAAGCCGATATGGACCTACGGTGTGGAATTATAGGGATGTGCAAAAAAATCTCACATTGATTCAATACAACGATCAAAAATCAAAAATTCTAAGGCAGATCGTAAACGCTTTATGGTATGTCAGTAACAAAATTATTCATGACGACTTGAACATACCATTTGTGGAAGATGTAATTAGCAGTACCAGTCATCGCCATTTTGAGAAGTTGGAATCCCATCCCAATGAAATAGTAAAACATCTTCTTGAAGAACCCCGATCTACGATGCTCAAAAGAAAAGTTCCAATTGATTTGAAGATAGATCAATCTCGATAAAGACCAGACTCAGCCCTCGATATATACCTCAGCTAGATTAGTTGTGCACTTAATGGAGTGGCATCTATTATAATTTTTAAAAATTCAGCCAATCTATTTATGTGTGTGTATATGACTGTGTGTGAGTATGTTTACTGTGTGAGTGAGTACAAATATAGCACAATAGCTCATAGAATTTTGTAAATTCTGATTGCTATTAAATAAAGTATAAAAAAAGTATGTTCACATGTCTACCTGTCTACCTATTTACCCGTCCGCTATTTACCTGTCTAAGTGTCAATGTCTCTACATTTATACCAGTCATCCTACCTTTATATCTATCTTTCTGCTTTTTACTTGTTAACGTGTCTACCTGTATACCTGTTTAATTCAACAACTAACTATCTGCCTGTTTACTTTTAATATACCATTCCACTTTACTACCTTTTTGCCCGTCTACCTATTTACTCGTTTACCTTTCTACATTTATACATTTCTCGCTGTTCACCTATCTACCTGTCTATATGTCCTATCTATCTACCTGTCTACCTGTCTGTCAATAAATGACTTGTATTGATTTGAAAAGCCGCCCCTGTAATTGTTACACAAAATGTATCAAGATTTTTCTATCATTATTGATATAAATGTATTTAAGGTGATGGCTAGTTACACATCTTTTGCCTTCTACTATGAAATACCAGTATCATTAAAAAATTTAATAATTTGCTTGTTTTTGAGATAATGATGGTGGATTAAAAAATTAAAACTTACACTTTTAAAAAGCTGAAAACAACAATAACAAAAAAGAACTCTCAATGATTTTACTCAGAATTATAAATATTTAAGCAAAATTCGACACATTGGATGTCTTCTAAAGATCGCACTCGTACACACAGGTAGTCAAGTGACGCTCGTAGCGAAAGGGTTACTAGGCTATTAGAATGATCAGTCGGCCTTTTTTTATACTTTGTTTTATTATATTGATGTAATAAAACTTTTAATATTGCTTTATTTTTAGTAAGCTTTTACGACGTTGCCGCAGCAATATCGCATAAAATTATGAACATAAAACTTTAAACACGATTACGTAATATATGCATAAATGTGCAAACACCATTATTAAGTATAAACAACTTCGATAAACGGCCATTTGTTTATTCCACCACGATATTAATCAGGATTAAGTTCGTCATCGATAAAATTGTAATAACTATGAATATGGAAATATAAAATAAGTATAACGATACGAGAATACCTACGTAATTAGAACACTTTTGATTACATTAATATTATAAACAGTGAAAATACTGCCTACATCAATCGTTCGTCAGGTAAATTTCTCAAACAGGTAAAGGTGATAATCAGAGTGAGACTAATTATTAGTTATGCATGCACTATGAGAATTGTTAAAAGAAATTGTAATGAATCACTCTGAACAAATGCGCGGTGTATGATTACCGATAAATGTGTGCATTTCTTTTTTATATTTATTTTTTCTTTCTAAAAATAGGTGAAACTAGTGATGCATGGCGTTTTTTATTTAAATCGGACGCTTCGTTATCTCAAAAACTAAAATACCATTTTCGGCACTTTTTGCCCCGTATCTCCGAAACGGTTTGATCTGTCTTTACCAAAACCTAATCAGCGGGTCTCCTTATCAGTAGGAATCGAATGTTTTTTTAATTATTCAAATCGGTTGCTCCGTATTCGCGAAAAAGGTCAACGAAATTTTGTATCCGCACAAACACACATACATACATTTTTTCTAAGGTAAGCCAAAATGTTCAGAAACCCCTGAAACGTAAAGATCTATAAAAAATTTCAGTATCTCTTTTTTGCGATCACCATAATTTACCCTACGAAAAGTTAATAAACAAGGTTAGTTATGAATTATACAATAATATTCATACGCAAAAGGATTTTCAATACGAAATATCATCCAAAGTCTAAAAATTCCAATTTTAAATGAGCAAACTTTAACAATAGCGTAGAGAGAAAAGTAAAAGCCCGCGGATAAAAGGGTCCACTATCATTATCTCAGAAAAAGCAAAGTATTAAATTTTTCAATGATACTATTTTAAAGTAGAAGGCAAAAAATGTTAACCAACTATCACCTTAAGTTGCCTTC